GAATTAGAAGTACAAAATGAGGATTTGTAAAGAAGAATGTCGGAGATTTCGATATAAGCCAAGAGGAGACTGGTTTTCCTTTGCTAAAGTAAGGAAACTTTGCTTCCTTTGCTCCTGTTTACATGCGCAACGCCGACCTCATACATCATCCTCCCGGAGCTGCTTCTGTGTACAACTGTTGGCGCAAGCTACATTAAAGTGATTATTACGTTTTGAATATGGATATTTTTCTTACAAAACGCATCGATTCACTACAGGAGGCCTTTTTTCACCCCCTGGAGCCGTGTGAGACACTTTTTTTTATGGATGGGCGCTTTTTATTTCACTTCTTTTAGACTGATGCACTGCAACACCTGCTGACTGCCATTAAACTGCTTGAAAGATCAAAGACAATTTTTAATATAACTCCGACTGGATTCGTTTGAAAAAAGAAAGTCATATACACCTAGGATGACTTGAGGGTGAGTAATTTATGGACTAATTTTCATTTTTGGGTGAACTAACCCTTTAAAGCTCTTTTATCATGACTTGTTTTTCACTGATGCCTGAGCACTTCACATCGCAAGTGCAGTGCTGTCTGTACCAGGTGAGCTACTGAGCAAGTTTACTATGTCAGAAAAATGAGACCTATGGAGCTAGTTATATGATGGAAACCTCAAAATGTATTAGTTTACAAATCATGCACAGTAAAAGTGTTTTGAGGCCATAAAAGTCATTGAGTTTTACTGCCACTAGTGTTCTTTTCAGCTGAAAACTGGCTGCATTAAGAAGTAACAATGAAACGAATGAAATTAATCTTATTGTTTCTAAAATAGGCTTCAAATATGAGTTTTTTATTTCCTTTTTTTGATTTTGGGGTGAAACATGATCTGGACATTTCTTTTTGTCAGATTCACCCTATTAGTGCATAAAATTTTGACATTAATGGATATTATATGTGATTAAGCTCATGTCTGCACAAACATTTGACATGCAGTAGACTACTTTTCAAAGTAATTGTACGCAAATATGTCTTTGCAAGAAGTAACACATCCAACCTGCATTTTAGCACACCCAAATGCACTCTGAAAACACAGAATAAGCTCAGTCTGATTGACTCCACATATATGAACCCCTGTCACATGACTCTCACCCCTGCGTGCCACCAGAGATAAAATCTAAAAGGCTTCAGTTGTCTTCTCACTGGTCCACTCGAGTGAGAGTGTGGTTTTGTATAACTGAGTGCTTTTGTTGGGTCCAGCATTTCACATACGGCTTTCAATAATGCAGCAGATAGGCATCTGAAAGTCCATCCAAGTCTTTAGAGCCACAACTGCAGCTGCAGTGAAAAATTTGGCTTCATTGAAACTAGGGCTGGGCGATAATTCGATAATTATCGCAATATAATTTTCCTCGATAAAACGATATGAAGAGTTCGATAAATGTTCGATATAACGTTTATGCCCCAAAAGCGGAACGAAACAGCGCGACTCATTTGAATCGCGCCACACGGACCATTTATCCGCTCGGACCAATGTTCAAAACGGCCGACAACCACCGAAATCAAAAGCACCCTCAGTTAAAGCTGTATTAATGGCATTTTATTGAATATTTGGCAAACTATCCAGTGTGTTATGGTTTGCGCTCTGGAGATCGATTTCTATGTCAATGTGTATTTGCAGCGTTGAGCATTGTAGCCAATCACAGACATA